ACATTAGAAGTGGATAGAATGTCCATTAAGAAAATCATCAAACAGCACCATGAAGTAAGCCCTACCTTGGAATCCAGAAAAAAAAATGGAAAGGAGGTAGACCAAGAAACACATTCCGTCGAGAATTGGAAGTAAACATGTAAAGAATAAAAGGAAACTGGAAACAACTGGAAAAGATTGTTGAGGACAAAGTTGGATGGAGAATGCTAAGGGGTGGCCTATGCTCACCTACGAAATAATAACAGGCTTACTGGTAGATCCAGCCAAAAAGCCCTACTTAAGATGAATCGTGCGTTCTGGATTCCACTGTTAGTCACTATCCATCTTTGCTTATAAGACAGTTAATTTGGTAGGAAATAAAGGTATGAGTTTGTAACGCAGGTACATCTAGCTGAAGGCTTCCGAATAGGACAATGTTTTCTTCTTTTGAAACATTCATTTCTTCAGAAAAATGTCATAAAAAGATCAAATTGATTACATCAACGAAGACAATGTGATTTATTGATGGGATGATATTTTTCTTTGATCAGTTAACTCATCACATTGTTACTTAGTGAGATAAATCATATAAATAGGATAAAAATAAAAAGATCCGATATACTGAAATGTCACCGATTTCATCAAGATAATACAAATTGAACTAAGGTTGTCAAGTATCTTTTTTATCAGTATGTGGTTGTGGAGATTTTTAAGAATTCCCGTGACATCGGATCAAAGAGATAGCTTGATTCTTTTACTTAAAAGCCCACTACTGCTATGAGATTTATATCGTTTAAAGATGGAATACCCTATTGGGGATAGGTATTCGAAGAGATAGAGACAGGTTAACTACTTTGTCAGTACCTTCTGACATCGGTGGTTGAAGAACATACTGCATCGGGAATTATTCATTCATTTATTTATTTAAACATACAAATATTGGTACAAAAGGGAACCAGATATATGTGTGCCACACAAATCTCATTTGATATGTGTGAGAACTGTGATACTGACTAGGTTCCCAAACCGAAGCAGGTGGTTTTCTTAGGGGCCAAACCCAGAGCATTTGACCCAAAAATCTGATCCACAAGACAGTGGAGCATCGTGAGGAGATGCAGTCCCATGGTAGCCAGTGACCAACAATTGATTCGTTTGCTATTTGTTCCTTCAGAATACTGGAGTCAGCCCATGTGTACTATTGATTTGGAATGAGGGTCTTCCAACTCCTCTAGATGAACTTTTCGTGTCTACCAACCCTGTTAATATGCCGGACATTCGATTTTCGTCCTCTAAATTTCGTCAACAACACCTCCGCCACAAGAAGTCAGTGAGTAGGACTTCCCTAACAGAGGATATATACGCGTGGCCATGTTAGAGCATTTCTATAGGGATAGCGGACTCTCCACACTCTCGGCTGTACCAGGTATCCAAAGGATGAATAGTGACTGGAAAGAACTGGTAAGGATTTCCCAGAACAGATTACGATGGAGAACAGACGATGGGTAACAGACGTAAGTAAGTAATATAACTTATGAAAGTTATTTTTAAATCAACTACGTCACATCTAGTAAATTACATAACACTTGTAATGCATACACACACACAATAAGGTCAATTTATTGATCATTCAAAATTACAAACTTCGTTGGTAAAATGTGACAACCACAAACATTAAATACTTCATTTTATAAATCTTCCATCAATTGTCCATTACATCCTTTATAACTTTTCCAATTTTTAATTTCTATTTTTCTTTGTGTTTTTTTCAATTCAATCTTTTACCCAACCTTCCATTGACAAACATACCATTTCCGATCAGTGTTACATACTACTTATGTCGACACATCATAAGTAGCATACATTACACACTGTTTATAAACTTAGCACCACTAATCCCACCTCCATCATTTGATAAGTAAAACATAATCGATTTTGACCCTAAGGCTATCATGAATAAAGAAATATTGTATTTGGTAAATAGTCCAAAGTTTTAAGCTCAAACTATGGATGAGTTTCTGAACAAAAAAAAGATATCTTACAGTTCAAATAATGAGTCAATTGATGTTAGACCACAATGGAATATCTAGAAGCACTGGACAGACATTTAGTCATAGTATGAGGCTCCATGATTCCTCTCATGGGATTCGAACCCAGGACCTGCGATCTCGTACACAAACGCTTAACCTTTAAATCATTGAACCGATATCTAATGTATAACTACTATTGATCTATGAATTGCTCTTCAACCATTCATTCATTGTCTATGGTAAATACCTATCTCTACCTGTCACGGATCGAACTCCAGTGGTTTGTCGAAATCTTAACAATCATTACAACCCCATACCGAAACTAATTCATTACTTAAGTATTATTTTGTTTGAATTATAAGTTAAAGAAATTATAAATAAGAAACATAATTTCATTCCATATTTTTAAGTCTTATATTCTATCCAAAGTTCGAGAGAGAGAGAGAGAGAGAGACAAGAAGGGAGGGTGGAGAATGATTGAGTGAATGAATAAATGAGTATGTGTGTGTGTGGGGGGGGGGAGGATGGGAAACAGTTTAAATAGAAACGTCATTACCCCCCCCCACTAGAAAACGTTCCACTTACTTACACACATATATGCACAATTGATTGTTATGATGTTCTTTTTCTTTTTAAGTTTTTCCAGTTTTTTTTTTCTGTTTTTTTTTCGCCTTAGTTACCAGTTAAACAGAGTCATTAATTATACCAAAGTTATAAAAATTGAATTATTATGACAGGCTAATAGCTTATTCTTGAATCAATATACAAATTAACATTTGGATTCTTTGAAAAATTCCTAATGTTAAGTCAAGTTCATTTCATGTCAAGAAAAGGTATGTTACACCTACCTTTCATTATACTACTTATATATGTAATGAATAGTAGTATAAGTAGTAGTAGTAGTAATGGTAGATGGTAAATTGAATAGATTCTAATCAGTAATATAGCCAATTGAATCTTAATTAGCTTCCTGTTTATTTAAATGATTGATAATAATAATAATAATAGTAGTAGTAATTAGTAGAGCCGAATTGGCTATGATAGATGAAAAACAAATCAATATTATGAAGAATGAAGAAGTTGAAGTTAACATTGATATTACTTATTCAAAGGGTATGTAAGGGTATGGATGGATGGATGGATTTCTGAAATTGTGAGTGTGCATATGTCATCGATTTGAGAGTCATGAACACAGTACGCCAAGAAATGGGGACAAACATGGGAAGAATGAAGGGAGAGGATAGAGTGGGTTGGAGAATGCTGGTCGACGGCCTATGCTCCATTAGGAGTAATAGGCGTAAGTAGGTAAGTAAGTAAGTAAGTAAGTAAGTAAGTAAGGACTCTTCGACTGGATATACTTGAGTTTCAGAGTTTATGTTTCTTTCGAGGTTCGAACTCAATCTGTCACCACGTTATTCACTTAGCTACCGATTCTAGATAATCAATTGTTTGTGAAATGAGATGAATTTTAATTTATTTGTCATGGTTGTTTGAATCTTCCTATTTATATTTAGGGATCATAATAGATCATTCCATTTTGGTATCCAACTCTTTAGGATACTTGTGATTTAGTAATAAATTCCGCACACGAGCCACATATACCAAAAGAGATTGTTCAACACTTGTCCATAAATAGCAATTAGAAGATGCAAACAACCAATATAAATGTTTCGTTCAAGTAAAGATGGTATTACTCTATAATGAGGTAGTATAAGTTGAATTAAGAACCATCAAGTGAAAAGGCGAGTGTATCACCTCAAAACTACTGGTTTACATTGTAAACTCCCGTTAATTAATGATATCAGAAGGGGTTTTGTGGATATTATAGTAATTTAATTGTTGAGATTATGAGTCAATTGAAATAGACAACCACTGAAAATCTCTAAGCACTGGACAGCCATTTAGTCATAGTATCGCACTCTTCAACAGTGTGAATTCACAATCCGTCATGCAGGATTCGAACCCAGGACCTATCACTCTCGACTGAGATTCGAATCCGGAAGCCGCAACACCTGTTTTGTTAGCAAAAATTGTAAACTGAGGATAGATAAATGTTCTAGACTACATTTCAATTGTTGTCAACAATTTAAACTATTCAATCATCTACGAATACTTTTGTAAATAAATTCACTTGGTATTGTTTGTTTGAATCTTCCCATTGATGTTTAGCACTGCAATTGATCAGTCTCTTATTGGATTATATGCATACTGTGCGTATTACCTCAATATAGTCTTAATTCACAATCATCATAAGTAATGATAGATAGTGGCTAGCAGTGGAATCCAGGATGCACGTTTCGTTCTATTTGGGACTCGTCAACTTGATCTACCTGAATCTCAGACTTGTTGATTTTCACTCTGGGATTCGAACCCAGTACCGTTCGCTTCAAGCACCATCGTGTTATCCACTCAGCTACTGAGTCCTGATAACCACTTGCTTATTCAATGGGTTGAAGTTTGAATTCACTTTGTATTGTTTGTTTGAATCTTCCCATTGACGTTTAAGACTGCAACTAGTCAATCTCTTATTGACAAAAGTAGATACTGTGCGTATTGCATTAATATAGCCTTAATTTACAGGCATTCTAAGCAAAGATGGATAGTGGCTAACAATATACTCAATAGCTGAATGGATAATCCGATGACGTTTGAAGCGAACGTTACTGGGTGGACATCTACTCTACGGTGCAAAGGTACATCCATCTGACGAGTCCCAAATAAGATGAAACACACATTCTGGAAACACACTTCTAGTCACTATCTATCTTCGTTGATAAATAGATCAGAAGGAGTTTTGTGAAGATTTCAGTATTTTTCATAGTTGAAATCATAACTCAATTGAACTTACACCACCATAGAAAACCTAGAAACACTGGACGTTCTACTACGGGACTCCTCGACAGTGCACAACCACGGATCCCTCAACAACAACAACAACAAAAATTAGTTCAATAATATATCAACACAAAAAAAAAAGATTCATTCATAACTTACTTTATTAAATGCTCCAATACTTCTTGAACCAGCATCATTGAACATTCTTGAATGTAATAATAATGCTCTTAATGCTAAATATAATCTACCTAACATTGGTAATATTAATAATAAATATGGACTAAAATGATCACTTAAATGATGTGTTGTTAATGGATAATTACGTTTATAATTAATATAATTAGTTACTGGGAATGAATGATTAAAAAATAAATCAATACCAGGAAATGGATGTATAGAACAAATCAATAATTCTGTAATAATTTGTATAATTCTATGCTTAGTAACACATATTCTCCAATCTTTTGTATATTCTTCACATAGAAACACCTAAACAGAAAAAAAAATAGAAGAAAATCAGAAGGGTGGGTTATTGTTGTGTTTTTTTTGTATTTTAAATGAGTACGATCGATAATGAATGATGTAATACATTAGATAAGGATAAAACGGCCGTCCAGTGTTTCCAGGTTTTTCATGGTGGTTTAGTTTCAATGGATTCATGATCCTAACTATATATAATTATTTGAGTTATAAATTTTAAGCCTGAGTGATGTCTAACTCTCCTGAAAGTGGAATTGATCTGTACTGCTCGAGTTAAATCTGGGCGGTGTCTAGCTTTCCTGCGAAACGAGATTGAGCTGTACTTAATTATTGTCTCACAGTAAGAGGAAATAGCCGTCAAGTGCTTTCAGGTTTTTCATGATCGTCTAGCGTCAATTGACTATTGATTTCAACTATGAAAATACTGAAATCTCCACAAAACTCCTTCTAGAGAATTAAGGTCAACAAGAACCAATCAACATTGAGATGTACAGGACAAGCTATAAACCACATGTTGAAAAATCCAAACACTTCTAGCTATCTTTTCTGTACTCATTCTTACTAATATATTTCCATAACAACGTCCTTTGTGTTATACAGTCTTAGGCATAGTACTTTAATACGTCGAAGGGGTAATCCACGTTAAATACTGACCACGAGGTGTGACTTCAAAGTTAGCTGGTCCGTCACACTATTCCCGTCTAACTACAGTAGGCCCCTAGTCATTACGCATAGATCATCTAAGTTAGTGATGTACAATATGATTTGGGTTTGTTTCCTACTTCTTATAAGTCAAAGAATACAATGAATGTGAGATATACTACTGAAATAATCATTTAATGATATACAATAGACATTACGTACTTACCATTATATCATATGTATGATAACATATTATAAGTAGTAGAAGTATGATTGTTGAAAAAGTGATAAGGATTCTCATAGTTGTTGAATAAATACTATTCTATAAGAATTATTAAAAGCAAAACAAAGAATATAGAAATCAATTACCCATTCAACGATAAATATTTACTGTAAAAGTTCCCTAGGTGCTTTTCACTTGTATCTTCCCATTGTTATTTAGGACTGTAATTGATCAGTCTCTTGTTGGCATATGTAAATCCTATGCGGAATGCCTCGATATTGCCTGAAGTTACAAGCTTCATGAGCAAAGATGGATAGTGGCTAGCAGTGGAATCCAAGACGCGCGTTTCGTCCTATTTGAAACTCGTCAGATGGAAGTACCTACATCTTAGAGTTTATGTTCACTCTGGGACTCCAACCCAGTATTGTCCTCTTCAAACGTCGTGTTATCCTTTTACCTACTGAAGTTTAAATTCACTTGGTATTGTTTACTTGCATCTTCCTATTGTTATTTAGGAATATACTTGATCAGTCTCTTGTTGGCATATATACATCCTAGTCGGGCTGCCTCGATATGAAGTCACAAGGTTTACCAGCAAAGATGTAATGCAGGCACATCCAGTTGACGAGTCCCAAATAGGACGAAACGCGCGTTCTGTATTCACTGTAAAAAACAGACAATAACATTACATCGCTAGCCAGAAACGAATTTTAATTAAAAGTGTTTGTTATTCAATGACTATCTCGAAGCGATCCGCGTAGGACACCCATATGCCAAAACAGAGTTAAAATTGTATATTTTTCCTATTTTATACAATATTCAGTCAGTTAGAAACGGTTTATACTTTAACGACGAATGTTCTATCAACTGGATAAAAAGAAAGTTTTCGAACACTTAGAATTAGGCTATTCCTTTTACTAAGATAACAACTTAGGAGTAAGGCCTTGGGTTGTTTTTGTTAAAATTTATGAGTGAAGTCCGATCAGTTTTTGTTGAACTGATGCATCCAATTAATGAGTGATAACTGAATTGTCTGAATCTTATTCAGATCAACAGAAAGCTAACGCATTTGAGTAGATAAAAGAAGGAAGAAGACCGGAATGTGTCATCAATATCTGATATTTCAGAAACATTTTCTTTGCCTACTTATCTATCCGTCCATCTTTCTGTCTTTCTTTCTTCTCTTTCTCCCTCATTAACTTATTTAAAAACATAAACATTGGTTTAAAAGAGCACCGAATATATATGTGCCACACAAGTCACTTGATTTGTGTGTTGGCTGGGATACTGACCGGATGCCCAAACCGAAGCAGGTAGTTTACTAATAGAGACACACCCGAAGCCTTCAACTTAAATGTCTGATCCACAAGGCAATGGAGCGACGTAAGAAGATGCAATGACAATGACCAACAATGGGTTTATACGCTATATATTCCATCAGAATCCTGGAGCCGATGTTCATCATTTCTTTGGAATGAAGGTTCGACCACTCCCCTAGGTGGATCCTCCGTGTCCATCAACTCGCTTAAAGCCCTAGCCGGACATTCGATCTTAGTCCTCTCAATTTTGCAAAAAATGACCCTCTTCTTGAGACGGCAGTGAGTACGACTTCCCTGACAGTAGTGCATACGCGTGTCAATGTGAGAACATTTGAAGAGGGAGAACTGACTCTCCCCACTCTCAACCGTAGCGGAGCATTTAGGGGCTTCTTTCTCTTTACGTATCCTAAAAATAGTATTCCTAATGGTTTCAATAGTCTGCCGGGTTTTCTTACAATCCACCATTTATTGTATTTAGCGCCTAAATTGTAAATCATCTGTTTTCTTGACTAAATATATCTATGATAACCAATTATATTCAAAGAAAGATAAAAATTCATATGACTTAATTTGTTTTCCTGGAGTTTCACTCTTTGAACTGGATAGTTTGGTCATGAAGCTTTCATCGTTCTTCTGAACAACATCATCAGTACAAACTTCAGATAGAAGCAAAATGTTCGAATATCTTCACAAATGATTGACAACTTGTTTTGTACACCTCGATATTGATTGGTTTTTTCTGACCTTACATTTCTCATTGGATTAAATTCACTTAGTGTTGTTTACTTGCATCTTCCCATTGTTAATTTGATTTGCAATTGATCAGACTCTTGTTAACATATGTACATCCTATGCGAACTACCTCGATATTGCCTTCAGTCACAAGCTTTATAAGCAGTGATGAATAGTGTCTAGCAGTGGAATCCAGGACATGCGTGGCTATCTGGACTCAGTAACTAAGTGGAAAACGCGACGAATTTTGAAGCGAACAGTACTGAGTTCGAGTCCCAGAGTGAACATCAACATCTCTGAGATGCAAGTACATCCGGCTGACGAGTCTCAAATAGGACGAAACGAGCATCCTGGATTCCACTGCTAGCTACTATCTATCTCATTGGTTCGGAAGAACATTGGAACCTCCACAATCAAATCATCTAGTTCAAAGAACAAAACTTCATCAAAATCATCCATCTCACCTATAAATCTTTCTCTATCCCAACTTACTTTATTATATAATGAGCGTGATATAAATTCAATATCAAGAAATGCTGCAATTATACCAAATATACTAAATGCCAATGCAAAATCAGCCATTCTTCTACGATTCTCTAATAAACGACGTCTTCTACCAAGATGATATCCAATACCTTTAGATAATTTATCAGTTAAATGTTGTTGTTGTTGTTGTGCTGGTGGTGATGATGATGGTTTTTTAAATTTATTAAATAATAATAAATTTTTATTGGCTAATTTATTATTGGATCCCTTTTCATAAGTATTCAATAGATTATTATTAGTAGTACTAGTAATAGTAGTAGTAGTAGGAGTAGTAGGAGTATTCTTGGATAATGTGGATTGAATCACTTCAGGAGATGTTCTACTTTTCTTCACGACAGGACTATCATCAATAGGATTTATATGTTCTATGATTAAATCATTATGATTATTCTTTTTTAAAGGATTTGTAGAAGATCCAGAAGTATTCCTGAAATGATACAGAGAAAGCAATGTAGAGATTAAGTTTTTGAATATTTTATACAGTTGAAATCATGAATCGATTGAAGCTAGACCATCATGGAAAACGTGAAAGCACTGGACAGCCGTTTCGTCTTATTCTGGGACTTCTCAGCAGTGTGCACCCACAATCTCGCCTAGCGAGATTCGAACCCAGGACCTACCAATATCGCACTAGAGCACTTAACCGATAGACCACTAAGCCGGCATCCGATGGTGTTTATGTCTAACTCCAACCTATCCACGAAGTTGAGCGACCGTTCATCAATTGTCTTCAGTGAGTTCTTATGTCACAACAGACGTGGTTTGAACTCCACTGGTCACTGTTTCTTACTAGAACTCCAGGATTTACCTCTCGAAGTCAGTCACTGAGGTGTCCCTAAATAAGACGATACGGCCGTCCAGTGCTTCCAGGTTTTCCTTGGTGGTCTAGCCTCAATTGAATCATGATTTCAACTATGAAAATACATATATATTTGTTAGGGTATTTTATATGAAGACTAATACTTATATTACTTATAATTATTTAAGCCTTTTACACCCAATGGAGCATAGACTGTTGAAGACTAATAAAGGTCAATTGAATGAAAGTTCAAATAAACAAAATAATTAAAAAGGGAGAAAAAATATTTAACATCGCATAGTGAGAAATAGGAAGTTTTCGCATTACCTTAGGCCATAAAATAACTTACCAGGATTACCAGGGTAAATCCAAAGTTGCGACAAATTGTTTTTGTACATATAAGGGAGGTGGGAAGTTTAAATGTACGAATAACCAAAGCTTCAATTAACCTGAGAATTCATCCTTCACAATTATTATAAAACCTTTTAACTGTTGTATTGATATCGATTCTGTTCCCCGTTTCAAAGATATGTTTCACTATTGATCAACATAGTTCTCTATATCTCAAGTTGATCGGATCACTTGATATTAACTGGTTTTGAAGCCATCTAGGCATATATTCCATGACCTTTGATCAGTTTGTTCCATTACTCCTACCTGTATATGTATGTATGCAATGAGATGTGACTTAATCAGTCGTGCATTGTCTAGGTCTAACGGGAATCATGGGGTTAGTTTTTTCAGTCACAACTAATTTATTATCATAACAGGTTTTCTCGATGGTTGCTTCCAATTTCTGTCCTAAAAGCATACTGTTGGATTCACTTCTATATGGTAGATAAATATAAATTTTTCCTTCGGAACCGAAGTCACGAATTGACTTCATACAAATCCCATTTGATATCTGTTTTCTATCAGTATCCAACTAAACACAAATGAATATTCACTTCCATTTCAAAAACTGAACTCAAGAGCTACGTGTCTCGTTGCATGGGCTTAACCTTCACACCACTGAGTTAACATACAATGATTTAAACAGCTCATAACAGCTTTCATCATGGAATGAGATCAGGTTGGGAAGCATTCAGCTTTATACTTACTTCATCGTGGTCCGTTGATTACTAATAATATTTGCTCGCAGTCCAACTCACTGACTGAACACATGACATTCTAGTTTTATAGAATGTATATGATGTTTAGACGATTAAACAAAACCCCAATATTTTCCTCAATGATGACATAATGTGAAGATGAATGAAACAAATATTCATTATTATCCTTATTGTAATAGTTCACAATCTAACATAAACTAACATTGACCAATCTTCACATTAGATACAATGCGTCTCTTTATTTAACTTGGCGGCTTGCTTGAACATCTAGGCTACCTATAAGAAATATGGATAGTGGATAGCAGTGGAATCCAGTTTGACGTACGTTTCGTCCTATTTGGGACTCGTCAGATGGATGTCCCTGCATCTCAGAGTTGATGTTCACTCTGAGACTCAAACCCAGTATCGTCCGCTTCAAACGCCATCGCGTTAACTACTCAGCTACTGAGTTCTGATAGCCGACTGCTAGTACAATAGGATGAAGTTTGAATTCAGTTAGTATTGTTTGTTTGAATCTTCCCATTGATGCTTAGGACTGTAACTGGTCAGTTTCTTATTGAAGCGAAAGGAGCTGGGTTCGAGTCCCGGAGTTAACATCAGCTCTACGGTGCAGGCACATCGAGCTGACGAGTCTCAAATAGGACGAAACGTGCGTCCTGGATCCCACTGCTAGTCACTATCCATCTTTGCTTATTATGCTTGTGAATTAAGGCTACATTGAGGCAATACGCACAGTATGCACATATACCAATCAGACACTGGCCAGTTGCAGTCCTAAGCATCAATGGTAAGATTCAAACAAACAATACTAAGTGAATCTAGGCTACTTATTTCAACAACTTTTTTTAATTTTGTTGGTTTTGATACACCATTATGGCTATTAATCGCATAACCTATTCTTGTACGTTTCTGAAAAGTGTACAACTTTTCTATCTACAAGTTACAAAAAGCCCAATCAGAGATATCGTGATTGCTGGCGGACAATAAACATCTAAAAGAATGTACATTATTTAGATGTCGATTGACTAGACTGCCAGCTTCTAACTAGTAAGAGATAGCAACTCATTGAAGACAGTGGTGGATGTGTCACTCAATTTCATGGATTGGTTGAAGATAGACATTAACAGCATTGGATGCCGCCTAACTCAGTGGTCTAAAGGTTAGGCGCTCACGCGCGAGACCAATAAGTCCTGGGTTCGAAGCTCGTGAGGCGAGATCGTGGATGCGCACTACCACTGAAGAGCCCCACAATGGGACGAAACGGCCGTCTAATGCTTCCAGGTTTTCCATGGTGGTCTAGCTTCAATTGACTCATGATCTCAACTATTGATTTTATTTACTTATTTATTTAAACACATATATATTGGTACAAAGGGGCACAAAATACATATGCACCACACAAATCTCATTTGATTTCTGTGAGAGCTGTGATATTACCCAGATGACCAAACTGAAGTAGGTGGTTTTCTTAGGGGGCCACACCTGGAGCCTCCAACCTATGGGTCTGATCCACAAAACAATGAAGCGACGCAAGGAGATGTAGTCCCATGGTAGCTGGTGACCAACAACAAATTCATACGCCATTCATTGCCTCAAGATATTGGAGACCATGAGTACCACTGGTTTGGAATCACAGATTTTACAACTCCCCTCGGTGAACCCTCTGTATCCACCAATCCGCTTATAGCCCCTACCGGACATTCGCTTTTCGTTTTCTCAATTTTGTAATAATAATTCGACGGCTTTTCTTTTTTTGTTTTTTTTCTGGTTTTTCAAAAAAATCTTTCCTAAAGTCTTTTCAATCCTTCCTTTTTTTTCAATTTGCACGCATTTCACTTTATTTCGGTCATGAACCGAAATAAATCGTTCGACCCCAAGAAACCAAAACGAACAACCACCCACCCATACAAATAACTAAACAGACAACTAAGCAACATACAAACTATTGGACATGAATATATGTTAAACAGTTTTTTGACACATATAAAAACGATACTACTGAAATTAAATCTTTTGATAGTTTCTAAGATGGAGAAGAAGAAGAAGAAGAAGAACAAGAAGAAGAAGGATGAAGGTCATTCCCATGTTTTTTTTGTCACTTATTGTTACTAGGAATGTTCATAAATGTAAATAAATAAATGAAAAAAAACAAACAAAAAACAATATCAAGTTTTCTTTTTTTTTTCTTTTTCTTCTTTCAACTATTTGTTAGAATAGGTTGACCCTTTTATTTATTCAACCATTTCATTGTATCAATCAATTTTTATTTCACAGATTTATAAAGAGAAAAAAAAACAGAAAGAAATAACAAGAGAGGAAAAAAAAAGAGGGAAACAGAGGGAGGGGGAAGAAAGGGAGGGAAAGTGAGACAGGGGTGGATAGGGAAACCGAGAAAGTTTAATTGATTATGAAGAAAGACATATCCTAGAGACTATGAGTATATATATATATATATATAAGGACTATAGTCATTCATTGAAAAGAATAGAATATGACATTATAAAAATGAATAATTCGAAATCTAAGATGTTTAATACCTATTTCAATGAGTAGTATAAAAATGGTATAAGACTATTAATGAAATATTGAACTAACCTATTATGATGGACAGTTTGTTAATGAGTTTAAGTTGTTAGTAACTTATGATATGGACTTTTTCTACAAGTAACTATGTGACATTTTAAAGTTAACTATATCTAAAAAAGAGGGGTGAGGGGTTGTGTAGATTACAGTGATTTAATAGTTGAATTCATGAATTAATTTAATCTAAAACATTTTGGATAATCTGAAAGTACTATAGAGTTATTCTGTTTTAGTATGATACTACTCAGTAGTACACATTCATGATCTTGAACTTAAGACTCATATCTATAACTTACAGTATCGAATGAGAATGCTTAACCTCCAAATAACTAAATCAGCATTCAGTTGTGTTAATGCTTAACTTTAACCAATCTACAATAATACGCAATCGTAGAAATTAGACAATTATATCTGTTGAATATACCTTTTCTGGAGAGATTAAAATTTATGAACAAACCAATCAGACTTAAAGTAACACATCTTGATTTTTGGTGTGATATTCATTCACTCATCTAGCTAAATAAATTTTTGACATTATAGATAATGCCAATTGATGATGAAAATATTAAATCTAATTCTTAACCCCAATCATCTCATTTATAAATCTTATTCCTAATGTCTAATTTTAACCAATCCATGAAATTGAACACTCGTACATTATTATCTTCAGTGAGTTACTATCTGACAACAGACCTGGTTGAATTCCATTGATCACTACTTCTCGTTTAGAACTCTACGATATACCTCTTGAAGTCAGTCACTAGTGAGCATATGTTGATTAATATCAGATGGGCTTTTAGGTATATTAAAGTAATTTACTAAGTAAGTTCATAAGTTAATTGAAGACTGATCACCATAGAAAACCTGGAAGATGATGGATGTATGAGATTTGATTATTTTCTGATTAATGTTTTAATTTTTTCAAATTCTTTAATTACAGAATTAGTGATGTAAAAGTGAGTACACAACCCCATACTTAACCCTTGTCCTTTATCTAGGCTTGTGACCGTAAGTAGCCTCTTAGAGGAGCTACAATCGGAGTTATAAGTTGTTCAATTAGTTCTAATTTACCGCTTCTTAGTAGTGTGAACTAATAACTTGAACTAATAACTTGAAGTGAATTCAGAATCAAAGTCAAATTGTTTAACTGACTGAATGGATTTGTAAAAGCATATCCATAGATTTTTCTTTATATTTACCATGATTTCTAAATGATATGACAATCCTACAGTTTGACCTCATCATATGAAGTTGTCCATATGTATTGCAAGGGTTTAAAATGTGAACTGTCACTTTCTGCTTTATTTTTAATAATTCTTTAACGAATATTAATCTTTTAGAAATAAATAATGTGTATTATCTCATATCAGCAATCCGACATCAGAGACTGTAAATCCATCAGTGCATTTAATGTATTCCCACATACTGAGACAGAGTAAATTCTACTTCTTTTATTACCTGAAAGCACTCAATGAACATTCTATGCTAGTAAAGCAATCTTAAACAATGATTATCCATAACTCCACAATAAGAAATCGAATTGAGAAATTTCAGTTTCAGGATTGAATGTTTAACCTCTAGATTACTAAGCCGTCATCTAACGGTGTACAAGTAATTCACATTTTATTATCTTCAGTGAGTAAGTTCCTCATACTCAATATGATTGAACTCCGCTATTCACGACTGCAATCTAGAACTTTCTAATTATCTCTCACTGTTATTCACTAATGAGTACATGATAAGATGATCACCCAATGTCCTTGTTTGATTTAAGTTATACTTGTACATCACTGAATATCGATCCAATGGTCTAGAGGCTAAATACTTGCTCGTTAGACTGAAGCCACAGGGATTAATAAGAACTGTAGAGATGTCTTATACTAGAATAAAACAGCAGTTCACTCCTTCTAAGACTTCAATGGATAGATTTGTGATCTCATTACAATTTAACGACATCTATAATCCTGTACTGATGTTAATTTTCAACTAATAGATTTCGCAACTTCGGTTATGTTGTTAGTAATGAAAATAGTTTTGAAATTTAAATATTTAGATATTGATACGAACACCTCATAGTTAAGAGATGCTATCGTTTGATGATAACATTAAGATTTTTTGCATTTAATTCATCACTGAGAATTATCTGAAATGCCTTGACTGTAATCCATATAATATTTCAGAAAGAACTTGGATAAGCGATACCTTCATCCTCTTGAATTCCAGTGGTTAAATAAGCGCAAGATTTTAATTTTCAAAGTAAACTAGCTTCTAGGTATCTATTAATTTCCACGTTCGATAATTTATTAGTAGGACTACCTACTTCATCTTTGTTGATAGTTTTACTTTTGCCCCAAATACTCCGGTACGGCCGAGAGTGAGGAGAGTCATTTCTCTGTATCCAAATGCTCTCACATGGCCATGCATATATAGCCTCTACCAGGGAAGTTCTATCAACTGTATTCTCATGGTGAAGGTGTTGTTTACGAAATTGAGAGGACGAAAGACGAATGTCCAATAGGAGCTTTAACCGAGTTGGTGGACACAGAAAGTCCACCTAGAGGAGTTGGGAAACCCTCATTCCAAACAAATGGTGTACATGGGCTAACTACAGTATCCTGAGGAAACAAATGGCATATGAACCAATTATTGGTCACGGGCTACCATGAAACTGCATCTCCTCACAAATGGTTAAATCACCTGTCATATTGTCATCCATTGGACTATTGTTAACCTTCAATCTTTTTGTTCACAACAGATGAAACTGTGCTTCACTACAAGGAAATCTAGAAGATGGGAATATCTTTACATACATTGAACAGAGTCATAATTTGCACACACACACACACAAAAGTGTATAACTTACAATTTACTTGTACCATAATCAATACTTTGATTCAATTGATTATTACATGAATGTGATGTCATATCTTGTCTACTTTGTAATATCATTGATACTCTTCTTATACGTAATGATAGTTCACAATCATTACTTAAACTTTTATTCATGGATGGTAACTTTGGTACATGAAGTGATATTTGATTTGTTGATTCTGGATAAGTTTCTATACTTGATGATATAGTTTCATTATATTGATTAGGTATTTCTAAATTAGATGAATGATATTTTAAACAATATTTTTGTTGCTAGGAGAAAAAAAGAAAAAAAAACTTTCATCAATATTTACTCATGAATGACTAACAATCATTCTATAAACAATTTTTGTATTGCTGAGGAGTCTCATAGTAGGACAAAACGGCCGTCCAGTGCTTCTTGGTCTTCCATAATGATCTAGCTTCAATTGACTCATGATTTCAACTAGAAAAATACTGAAATCTCCACAAAACCCCTTTCTGATCTATAATCATATGCTCACTAGTGACTGACTTCGAGAGATACTTCCTTGAGTTCTAGTGGGAAGCAGTAACCAGTGGAGTTCAACCAAGTCTGTTGTAGATATATCAACTCACTGAAGACAAATGATAAACGGTTTCTCAAAATCGTGGATTGGTTGAAGTTAGACAATAACACCGTTGGATACCCGTTCAGTGATCTAGAGGTTAAGTGGTCTAGCGTGAGACTAGTAGGTACTGGGTTCGAATCTTGTGAGTGCGTGATCGTGGATGCACATTGCTGGTTTATTTATTTATTTATTTAAACACAAATATTGGTACAAAAAAGCACCAGATAAATATGCGCCTCACAAATCTCATTTGATTTGTGTGAAGGCTGTGATACTGCCCAGGTGCCCAGACTGAAGCAGGGGTGCACAGACTGAAGTAGGACGAAATGGCCGTCCATTACTTCCAGGTTTTCCATGGTGGTCTAGCTTCAATTGGCTCATGATTTCAACTATAAAAATATTACTAAAATCTCCACAAAACCCCTTCTGAAACTATAATTTATGAACGAACCAATCAGATTTAAGATACCAGGTCTTGGATTTTTTGGCGCGAAACTCATTCATTCATTTAGCTAACCACAGTTTTGGTATTATAATTGATCTCAATTCGTGATAAATACGTTGAATCTGATTACTAACCTTAATCATCAATTGTAAATTATAATCATAATTCCTCACACTGGTTTATAACCGTCATTTAATCCTAATTAGTAAATGGACATTCTTAAGGTCACTTTAGTGTTACTCATTTGATCCTAGTTACAAGATGGACATTTTCAAGGTCATTTTAGTGTTGTTCAAAGGCTTTACCAGGGTATTGAACAATGGATCATTTACCTTTACTCTCTTTTCTGTACCGTTTGGTTAGATTTTCATAAGTCGTTCGGAGAAAAAATTAAGTGTATGAATGCATGTGATAAGTAATAGCTCGACTTTATCCAAAATACTCTCTATATTTTAAGCCAAAATACTTCGGACCTATAAAACATTTCTTCATTACATTACTACTTATAAATCCCTACTACTATGACTATGTCTACTAGTACCACTACTACTACGACTACCACTACTGCTACTAACTACGACGTCGACTACTACTACAGCTACTACTGTAGTGAACAAGTATACGGGTGGGGACAATCGAATGTCGTTAAATACAAATTACAGACTATCTCACTGAACTCTGATAACCATACAGTCAGTAGTTAATTTGCAAAATAACAATCAATTTTCTCAATCTTAACTGTTTCTTCTGCAAATATCAGTCCATCTTCTCTGTTTTCATTGTCCATGCATTTTCGAAACGATTGCTCTTTATTCCTGTTCTTTCCTTATCGATCTTCTGCCAAAATACATTCTATGTCTGACCATTACCATATATTATTTATGTGGATATGAGGAGATTACAACACACTACTACCACTACTACTACTACTACTGCTGCTAGTACTACTACAACGACTACTACTACAGATACTACTACTACTACTACGGCTACTACTACTGCTACTACCACTACTACTACGTCTACGACTACTGCTACTACCACTACTACTATGGCTACTACTACCACTACTACTACGACTACCACTACTACGACGATTAACACTACTACTACTACTACACACACTCACAGAAAGAAGTTAATCACAATCTCTTTTTTTCAGCGACAAAGCAACGGAAGCATTTAACTGATGAACAAAAAAAAACACCGCATCCATATATATGGGCCATAGAAAATTCTTTCCTATTTCAAACAGCTACGTATTTCCCCTTTGTTTTTTTATATCCTCTAATTCAAACAAACAGTTGGTTGCCATCAATTCAGCGTTAGTTATGTGTTCCTTTTTTCTCGATTAACTTAGTAACAAAAAGTTTCCTTTTTTTGTTTGTTTTCGATTCAAATGAAACTGAAATCGTTACAGTTGGTTGTTTTAATGAGGGAAAATAAAAGAAATTTATCATTAAACAGATTGTACTGATTAATAATCATAGGATAATTTTAAAGTGTTAGCATTGAACAATGAATAAACACTAACTAGTGAGGAGCTCCTCAGCAGTACGTAACCACTATCCTGTAGGCAGTATTCCAGACTGGGAGTATACATCTCGTGAGTAAGATCATGAATGAGCTACTCGGTGCTTCTACGTGTTCAGTGGTAGTCTAGCTAAGATTCTGCTAAAATTCTACAGTCTCCACAAGTCCCCATATCGATGATAAGCATGTTCACATTAGTAACAAGCTTTAAGATGTATCTCCTGGAGTTCTAGTGAGAATTCATAACTAGTAAAGTCCAATGAATGTCGTGTGGAGACAGTTCTCCACCTCACATAATAAATGAAAAATTGTGCAAGATCATGGATCGATTAAAGTTAAACACTAACAACATTCGATGCCAGCTCAGTGGTCTACAGTTTAAGCGTTCGTGCACGAGACTGAAGTTCCTGGTTCAGAGTCCCTTGAGTGCAAGACCGTGGATGCGTACTATTGGTTGTTTATAAAGGAAACTCTTCATTAATCCCTCCCTAAACACACAGTCATTGACATATATACAGGAAATTAGAATAGAATACGATTTATGAGTTATATAGGTTTCCTCAGACGAATTTCTATCCGTCTTTTACCGTACATACTGTAATGAACGAGAGTATCGGATGGGGATAACAGAAAAAATAATTCATTTGCAAAATGTTAATCAATTGTCTCAGACTTCATTGTCCTTTCGTTTCCACACCAATCACTCTCTGTTCTCGCCTTGTTCTCTTCGATCTTTTTAACCTTCTACCGCCAGGTATTTCACGTTCGATTGATAATACATACTGCTTCTATCAGTCAACATCAGTAGTACACAGCACAATACTACTACATTATAAACCTATGTTTATAAACAGTAATGGATTTATTCACGAAAGGAAGGCGGAAAATCATGATGTTTTCACCAGTATAATGATAGATCAAAAGTGTCAAATAGCCGATCAGTAATCACCTTTATAGTTATCTAATGAGAATAATTGCATAAGAATCATTAATTGAACGCTCTTAATCACTTCAATGGTGCTCATACCATTTTGACATTATTTATATGATTCAATGATCCAGAAACTTTCCCCTTTTACCTTAGTAAACGTCTTATATTAGTGCAGTAAATTAATTTGAATTAGTCATTTGGTATCTGACGATTTCAGTGTTTTACTACACAACAAACCGTAGACACCTAATTCAAATGCCATAAAAGTCTTTCATGATAAACTACATCACTTTTATCAATTGGTTCAAAGACACTTTCATTTGAAACTAGACATTTAATGTTCCAATATCACTTTCATATTATTCAAAGTTTTCCATCTTCTGAGTTACTAGTTTACTCAAGTCAGTTAACAAATACTTTGACTGACAACATGATACAATTAGTGACCGTGAGAGATACAGACTGAAAGAATATTTGGTATATTAGTTAATTAAGTAGATAGATAAACAGCAAGATAGATAGATAGATAGATGGATAGGTAGGTAGATAGATAGATTGATTGATAGATAGATAGATAGATAGATTGATAGATAGATAGATAGATAGATAGATAGATAGATAGATAGATAGATAGATAGATAGATAGATAGATAGATAGATAGATAGATAGATAGATAGATAGATAGATAGATAGATAGATAGATAGATAGATAGATACATAGATAGATATGCACATTAATGACCTACACTCAACTGATAAACTCTACACCACAAATTGCTAATTGATTATCAATTACCAGCTACTATTGTTTCTAGCTGTCTTTCATTCTCTCAGTTCATCATTAAAGTAGATCCAACCTTTCTTAGGGATTATTGGTTTCATGGATAAGTTCACTTTACTTTTTCAATTATTTCATCCAGAAATCAAAATTAGTTAATCCATTCAATATTAAGGAGAATGAATATTCATATCAGAAAGGGGGTTTTGTGGATATTATAGTAATTTTAATAGTTGAGATCATGAGTTGCTCTATTTCATGGATTAGTTGAAGTTTATCATTAACACCTCTGCATGCTGGCGAAGTGTTGAAGAGGTTAAGCGTTCGCTTGTGAGACTGTTAACTCGTGAGTTTGAATCTCGCGAGTGGGATCGTAGGTGCGCACTGATGAGGAATTCCACAATGAGACGAAACAACCGTCCAGTGATTCCCATGGTGGTCTGGATTCAATTGACTCATGGTCTCAACAATTAAAATAAATTTTGTTCGTTTGCTTCAACAAAGATCTCAATAAATTATCACTTCGATTCTTCTACATGAGGATATACATACATATGCATGCCATATCAATTAGACATTCATTGTCTATATTGTATGTTTGTTGTAATCTATCAAGTGTATGAAAGTTATGCAATGACTTTCATTAAATCATAATTCATTGTAATCAGCAGTTGGGCTACAACAGAAATGTTTGTCTGTCAATTAGACTGACATTGAAACCTATCGAAATGCCCAACAATTAACGGTAATGAACAAGTAACTCTTGAATTCTATGGTGTTATAAATTTGAATGGTCACTAAGCTCAATATTCAATCTTGACCTAATCATTGAGTTCTGTTTTAGCGTCTAAGTCTCAGTCGGTCAAGATTAACGGAAACATTTACAACCGATATTATGTGACGTCATTTCAAACCACATTTCAATCGATTGAACATTGTGATAACACACAACGTGCCAAACAATCATGTACTTCGTTGAAGGAACATCAAAAATA